GGTTGAAACTGTGATTAATTGGAAGCAACCAAGTAACATGACTGAAGTCAGAAGCTTTTTGGGACTGGCAGGATATTACAAAGGATTTGTAGAAGGATTATCTCGAATTGCGACTCCATTAACTCGATTGACACAGAAAAATGGCAAATTTGAATGGACAAAGGAATGTGAGGAAATTTTTCAAGAATTAAATGCTCGATTGACTTCAGCACCTATTTTAACTATTCCTACAGGAAATAAGGGATTCGTGATTTACAGTGGTGCTTCACACAAAGGCTTAGGTTGTGTATTAATGCAACATGAAAAGGTAGTGGCATATGCATCTAGACAGTTGAAAGAATATGAGAAGAGGTACCCAACTCGTGACTTAGAACTGACTGCAATAGTATTTCCTTTGAAAATTTGGAGGCATTATCTGTATGGTGAGCAATTTGAAATATATAGAGATCATAAGAGTTTGAAATACCTCTTTTCCCATAAAGATTTAAATATGCGGCAGGTAAGATAGTGTGGATTGTACAATAATAGTTTTTTAGGAAATCCATCCACCATTTGGGTTAGGCTAATGTTGTGGCAGACTCTCTAAGTAGGAAGTCTGCAAGAGTTCTAGCTCATCTAATAATTAAAGAGTGGGGACTATTGAAAGAAATTAAAGACTCAAACTCAGAATTTCATTTAAAGGATTCCGGCATTATTGTTGCTAATTTATGTGTAAAGCCAACCCTTATTCAGAGAATTAAACTGGGACAATTAAATGACACTCGAATGGTAGCAATTATGGAAAAAAGTAACTAAAATGCCAGATTTTGAAATTCAGCAAGATAGCATAATGAGATTCAGAAGGAGATTGTGTTCCAAATATGATGAAAATTTAAAAAGGGAGATCTTGGAAGAAATTCATCGATCTCGATATATTGTGCATCCTGGTAATAGTAAAATGTATAAGAATCTACGAAGCCATTATTAGTGGAACACTATGAAAAAAAAGAGATTGCTAAATTTGTGTCTAAGTGTGCTTGGTGTGCCAACAAAATAAGGCGGACCACCAAAAACACGTGGGTATGTTACAACCCTTCCCCATTCCTGAATGGAAATTGGAACACATAACTATGGATTTTGTTACAGGCTCACCCGAAATAAAGAACAGTCACAATGCAATTTGGGTGATGGTGGATAGACTCACCAAATCCGCTCATTCTCTGGCCATAAGTATATATTCGAGAAATTGTAAGATTGCACGAGACCCCAGTAACAATTGTGTATGATAGAGAACCTCGATTTACCTCTCAATTTTGGAAGAGTCTACAAGAAGCCATGGGTACCAAAGTATCTTTTAGTACGCCATTTCATCCTCAAACTGATGGACAATCAGAAAGAACAATCCAGACTTTAGAAGATATGCTTAGAGCATGTGTGATGGATTTTAAAGGAAATTGGGATGATCATTTGCCTTTGATCGAATTTGCCTACAATAATAGCTATCAGGTCAGTATTAAAAGGCACCATATGAGGCATTATGTGGAAGAAAGTGTAAATCACCTATTTGTTGGGATGATGTAGGGGAAAGAAAATTACTGAGACCAGAGCTAGTTCAAGAAACTACTAGATGAAGCTCATTCGTAACAGACTTCAAAGTGCTCAAAGTAAACAGAAAAGTTATGCAGATAAGCATAGAAGAAACTTGGAATATCGAGTAGGAGACCATGTATTTCTAAAAGTATCACCTTCCAAGGGTATAATGAGATTCGGAAAAAAGGGAAAGTTAAGCCCAAGGTTTATCGGACCTTTTGAAATCTTGGAAAGGATTGGAGAGATGGCATATAGAATAGCCTTGCCCCTAAAATTATCAGACATTCATAATGTGTTTCATGTGTCAATGTTACGAAGAAATGAGCCCGACCCGTCACACATCATTAACCATGAACGTCTTCAAATTAGAGATGACTTAACATACACCGAGCAGCCTATTCAAACTCTTGCTCGAAATGAGCAAGTGTTGAGATCCAAGATGATACCATTGATAAAAATTTTGTGGCAAAATCATTCCTTGGAAGAAGCCACTTGGGAACGAGATGACGAAATCAAGAAGAAATAAACCAATCTTTTTCAGCAATCAGGTACGAAAATTTAGATGACTAAATTTCTTTAAGGGAGGGAGAATGTGATGACCCTAAATTTTTTGAACTAAAAATAATAATATTAATAATAAGAATAATAATAATAATATAATAATAATGATAATAGTAATGATAATAAAAATATAAAATACTTATATAATTTTGAGTGATAGTTCATTATGCTAAGAATGCACCAAGGGACCATTTTTTAAAACTTTTCATTTCCATGTTTTTTTACATTAGGTATAACATGATTTGAACACTCATGTAACACTCATACGCGTGAGGTGGCATTATAAGGTAATAATGTGCCATGAGGTGGCATTATAAGGAAATAATGTGTCATGAGGTGGAATTATAAGGTAGTAATGTGTCATGAGGTGGCATTATAAGGTAACAATGTGTCATGAGGTGGCATTATAAAATGATTGTGTCATGAGGTGGCACATAGAAGTGAGGAGTTAAAAAAAAAAAAACGGGGACACATAATTTGACATGTGTCAAATGAAGGATTGTCCTCCCTCACTTTTAAAAACCCTTCTCCCCTCATGGGCACATCATTAGCCTATCATGTTGGCTTTTCTCGCTCTTTCCATATGTAAGTTCTCCTTCTCCCTCTCTCATAACAATTTTTTTTCTCTCTTCATGCTTTCTTTCTCATAATGATCTCAGTATAATAAAAATTATTCTCTTTTCTCTCAGATAATATTTCTCTCTCATAAGAATCTCATAAAATGTTCTTCTCTCTCTCATAATGTTCTCATTATGATAAAATAATTCTCTTTTCTTTCATATAATATGTTTTCTCTCTTATAATACATCCATTTTTTATGCTCCCTCTCCCTATATAAACTCATTTGGTCTCTTCTCATACCTTTAGCTAAACGCCATTGATCCCGGTTTTACTTTGACAACAATAGCAACACATCTATCTCAAAGTGGCGTATAAGTTTTAAGAGTAAGTGACCTTATTTTCCTGTAAGATAGTCGTTTGAAAACTGGCATTTCTGCATTAAATTGTAATATTTTCGTCTATCATTATGAATTTTAGATACTGTAAGTTTTATGTGTAAGTGACCTTATTTTCTTGTAACATAGTTATTTGAAAACTGGTATTTCTGCATTTAATTGTAATATTTATGTCTATCATTATGAATTTTAGATTCTGTAAGTTTTATGTATAAGTGACCTTATTTTCCTATAAAATAGTTATTTGAAAACTAGTATTTCTGCATTTAATTGTAATATTTCCATCTATCATTATGAATTTTAGATACTGTTAGTTTTATGTGTAAGTGACATTATTTTTCTGTAAAATAGTTATTTGAAAACTAGTATTTCTGCATTTAATTGTAATATTGCCTTCTATCATTATGAATTTAAGATACTGTAAGTTTTATGTGTAAGTGACCTTCTTTTCCTGTAAAAAAGTTAATTGAAAACTGGTATTTCTTTATTTAATAAAATTGTTATATTTTCATCTATTATTAAAGATTTTTTAGATAGTTGAAAATTTAGTATTCAACTCTAGATTTCCATAAGAATTCTTCTATTGTCAATAGATTGTTTATCGTGTTCGATTTCAATTTTTAAGAATGTCTCTCATAACTACTACATTTTTGAAACTATATATAAGAAATTGAGCCCAAAATGTTTGACTGATTATTTATAGAAATACCAGTGAAAGTATTTGCTATAAATTGCTTCATGTGAATTCATGCGATTGATTTTAAGGATATTTTGAATATACGATATTATTGTTTCCCGATGTTTAGTAATAAAAAGTTTTAGAGATACTTTAAGTATACAAGTGGACCTACTCGGTACGCTGATAGGGAATAACTGGACTCATCCGGTACGCCGATGAGATATAAGTGGACCTATCTGGTACACCTGTAGGGATTAAGTGCACCTATCTGGTACGCCGTAGGGGTTAAGTGGACTCATCTGGTACGACGGTGAGATATATGTAGACCTACCCGATACGTCGGTAGGGATTATGTGGGCTCATCCGGTACACCGATGAGATATGAGTGGACCTATCTGGTATGCCAGTAGAGATTATGTGGACCCATCCAGGCCGCTAGTAGGGTACATAGGTGACCTACTTGGGACGCCAATAGGGTATTTGTGAAATCTTTTGATTTATGTTAAAACTGTGTATTTTTTTAAAAAAATTTGAACAGTTCTCCATCTATGCTCTTCCTCATTGTTTCAATATGCATTCCTTTAGAAAATATTTACATTTTCTAACCATGATTTAATGATTATGATGGTCACTTACTAAGTAACCAAACTCATCAAACTATTGTGAATTCTTTTCAGAGTAATTGCAGCCTTATTGTTCATATGTACAGCAGGAGTAGCTTGGAAGAAGTTTTTAGTCATGGTTAAATTCGCCTTTGTAACTTTTGTTTTGTCAAAATTGTATACATATAGAACTTCATGTTAATATATAGAACTTCATGTTAATATAAGTTGTGAGTAGACTTTATACAATTTTGAAAAAAAATTAATGGAAAAAAAATCAGTTTTGATGCAATATATAGTAGAAATTCCAAATTTGTTCCATTTATACTTTAAGAATAGACTGTCACGCCTCAGGAATGATAGTGTCATAAAACTTGGGGTGTGACAGATCCTATATAACAAAGAGTTTTGGAGCAGTAACTTTCAAATGATGGAAGGCAGAAAATATCTTAAGAAAAACAAATTGTAGAATGAAGGGGGAACGATTTTTTATATAGATTAGTAAGAGAATGATAATTTTATCTTATCAATTATAGAGAAATACCAGAAAAACATTTTATTCATGAATATGGCAATATCTCACAAGTAACTGAAAAGCTTCAAATGCATAATTTAAAGTGAAGATATACATACCATCATCCTTCTTGAAAGGTCCTCTCTTTTGATATCAATAGCATCAACATTAGGCTGCATACGAACATAAAAAAACCAACCAGCCCAGTTAAAAACGTCTATAAAATATAAAGAAGAGAAAGAAGCAAGAACTAGATGGGGTAAGTGTGGATGCCATTATCCCATAACAAATACGTAAAAGACAATCCTTACCAATGTGATATTCAATCCTATGACTAAAGTGACAGCCCAAAAAAAAAAAAAACGAAAGAGATGTGTATATCTTGAAGGTAATCAACCAATTTTCCATGAATTTGAAAAGATTTCTTGAAATATAAGACACAGATACGTTGGGTACAACCATAGAACAAACAATTATATGCCAATATCCAAGACAAGAGGAATGGTTTTTGCAAATTCACAAGGACAGAAGATGTTGCAAAAGCAGATGCATTTTTAGAGGTACAAAGAAGTGAAATTGTGGATATGGGATGGCATTGTCTTCCCTTTAAGAACGTTCATAGGCAAGATCATTCTTAATCTCACTGAAGGGCATGAGGTCTACCATTTACAACCTTCCAAAGACAACAGCAAGAAAACATTTACAGTTTTTCCAAAAACTACAGCTTGAAGTTGTTTGATAACACTTTCTTGACTAAATGGAGATGAAAGATTGACTGGTGTGACCAGTTTTGACCCGTTGGTTGGGTCATATGCCTAGCTTATGAGATGAATAATGACTCTGATGTTTCATTTTTCTAACAAGTATTGGTGTCGGATACATGCCAACACTTAGACAACTGAAGACATTTGTACTTGATTTATTGAACAATAGCATTTGTACTTTATTAATAACATAACAAACTCCATTTATCATACACGTAATTTTATATACTTCATACATGATTATATATTTTAAGGAATATGATGGGTGCTCCCCTTAGAACACAACCATTGGTGCTTCCCCCACCTCAAAAGTCATTGTTCATGTGTGAGAGCAACTCCAAAAAGCACCAAGTAGTCTCCAACGTTCTCCTTGAAACAAAATTGAGTTCGAGCTCCAGAAAAAATCCAAGTCCCTAGAGCCACCGTATACTCAGGATGTATTAAGGGGTGCTGTGTAGTTAATTTGGAACATTTTTTTAGCTCAAAATCCTTTTTATTTTTCTGGAAACTGTTTTTGGAGTGAACAAGATTTGATTTAAAGGCCTTTTGCGTCACTCATACTCATCAACATACTTTCTAAGACCAGTTAGACCATTGACCGGTGCTTAGCCTGTCTGGTCTAGAGAAAAATCAGGTTTAGTTTAGTCATAAACTGATCAAAATCAATGTTTGATCAATTTTGGTGGGTTTGAAAGGCTACTTTTGGCCGGTTCAGCCGACTCAATAAAGTTAGGCAACTTTCTTTAATATATTTCATAATTTGAAGCTATTATTTATATTTTTCTAAAATTTTATCCAACCATTTCAACAAGCGTTCTTTCACCGGTTCGATGGCTAATGCGAACCTAATAATACCGCTCATCAACATTGGCTTTCAAGGCAAGAGCACTATAATTTCTTGTATTATAATATGATATATTATATATTCATTTGAAATAGAATAAAAATTCAAAGTAGATAAAAATTACAATTATATTTTATTACTTGTATACTGCATTTCATTTATATTATACATCTGTTATACGTTTATGAACATCAACCTAGCCATGGGCTTTGTGGTGAGACACCTGTTTTTTAGTGAACGAGGTCTTCGGTTCAAACCTTCCACTTGCAAATCAAGATGAACTATCAAAAAAAACAAATTCCATGAATATTTTGTCATGCCAATAATTTTTGGAATGTCATGTTGTAAACTATTGAATCTTGACACATTTCAAATACTTGGAGAGAATGATCAAATAGATTTAGAAAAAAATGTTAGGAGAGCAAGGACAGGAAGAGAACAAACAATTTTGACTTCAAAGTTAGAAAAATTTGTGAAGATTATTATGAGGGAACTCAAAGTGGAAGTGATTCGAGATTGGGGCTTATGCTGTGAGCCACGAAGACGTTCAAGGAAGTCTTCCTAAATGGGATGCATAAGCCTTTGCTCCAAAGGTACTAGGACTTTTAAAGTTTCTATTTTGACATTCATTGAGGATGCTCACGACATGACTTGTTGCATCAAGGAATTCAAAATCCCACAAAATTAATTGATGTATAATTTCTTGAGATCAAAGACTAACAGAAACAAGGTGTAGTGCTATCTATAAGGTTCCTACTGCAAAGGGAGGCCGACTACTTGGTTGATGGCATGTATGTTTTAGCCAGTGGTTTAAAAAACGGATTGGTGCCCCGGATCAGGCACCCCAAAATCGGTGAATCGGCATTTCGGATCGGAATCGGCCGAATTGGTTGGATTTAATCTTAAAAAAAATCCAACAAAATATTAAAAATCATTATAAATGTTGTTTTTTAGGAATCCAATAAGAAATGAGGGTACTACATTACTAACTTTCATTTTTTTGCATCAATATGTGAATATTAAGATGTTCTTTCCCTGTAAGAACTACTGTTAACCATTAAATTTAAATCACACACAAGAAAAAACATAGAAATATCATGGATGAAGTATATAATCATACATGAAATATAATAAATTAATAATACAAATAAATTAATTTATTACTATAACAAAAATAACGCATTATATACTTTATAATACAAATAAATTAATAAATAAATTACAATATTTGATTATCAATGTAAAATTATTATTTATAATATTATAACAACTATGATTTAAAAAATATTTAAAAACACTTCCATATCATAAGAAAAAAATAAAAATAAATTCCTTTATAAATTTCAATATTACGACATTACAAAAATATTCAAGAAAATATTTTTCACCTAAAAATAGAAACTAAAAATGTCCAAATTCATAAAAATAAAAATAAAATAAAATAAAAATTAAATTACATATCATATTGTTGGAAGGTATTTTTCATCAACATGGGGCACCCGCTCAATAAAACCTAGCAAAGAGTGAAAATTCCGGCAGTCTCATAATAGCCCTGAAATCGGCCAAGATCTTCATAAGGTCTCTCAAAAGTCTCCTGCCAAATTTCGTCGTAGTCCGAGATGTTTAAGGCAGTGCAGACTCAGAAACAATTCCAGTAGAATCGACCTCTAACACTGTGAAACGCCCTATAACTAGAGCTAAAATTTCGGTGTCTCAAATCGTCGTGGGACCACCACCATTAGATCCGGCAAGGTCGAAAACCCTTGTGAGTCAAATTCAGCCCGAACGGACACTTCAGGAAGAAGTTATGATCAAAAGAGTGAAACAGGAGGGGCCGCACGCTATTCCCGAGCGGCCACCCTGCAACTCCATGCCATGGAAGGGACAGTCATCACCAGTGACTTTCAACGCTCATATCTCACCCGTCCCAAGTCGGATCGCTCTCAAATATGATGAGCATGTTCGTCTAGCCAAGACGAGCGATTCGATATGTTGTACGCCCCTTGATGACACCCGAACGCAAACAAAAGCTAGAGAGAAGTTGGTGATCCGTGAAGAAAGTACAGGAAATTCAGCAGCGTCGTGCCTCGCTTGGGCGGCCAGATCACGCCGCCCGTAAGCCCGATCGTCGCGAGACCAATTCCATCGTGTGCGTAAGGTCTCGGGCTATTACTGACCCGAACCCCGTAAGTGATGAACGGTTGGATTCTGCACACAAAGCCGACGAAGCGACTGCAAATTCCATCGCCGGAATTCCATATTCCGACCAAAATTCCAAAGTTGCAAAATTTTCGTTCGGGTACAGAATCGAGCTGCGTTTGTTGCCCCGAGATCGTAACGGCATGCTCAATGTAATTCAACAAAGAATTCACCAAAAAACATCAAGGAACGAGTACACTATCGATCCGAAGTTTCAAGATCCATTCAAATTTCAAGTCACATGATCGTGCACTAAAAACACGATCCATGGCTCGAAGTTGGTATAAAATCGATCGTCATGCCGAGCCCTACAAGAAAACAATCATCTTACGATCAACCGGGCATCAAACCGACCTCAGATCAGCCATGCAAGATCATGCAAGTTCTAGGGCAATACAAGGACTGTTCTGAAATTCTACGAATTGTTAAGAAGGGGCAAATTTGTCATTTTACACCCTATTTTTTAATTTCTTTTAATTTAATTTAATCTTAATTTTCAGCAATTAGGGTTACTTTTGATCATCCACCCATGTTTGGGGTAAATTCTATATATACGTACCAGCATTGTACGCACCAGAGGACTCAACCTTTCACAAAAGAGAGAGTGTTTACCTAATACAAGTTTCTTTTTCTTCTCATTGTTGTATCACGTTTTAGAGAGAGAGTGAGGTGAAAGAAACTTTTGACCAACACCCCTAGGTTCGAGGTAAATCTTCTCTCTTCTTTTCCTTTTCTTCCCTCTCTATTCTTTCCTCTCTTCTCTCTCTTCTCCGTCTGAGTTCCTCGTAGGGGTCATGCACGGCAATGGCAGTGCCATGCATCCCTCCCCTGAGGTCACATAGGCCATCGCCATGCGCGAGTCTCCTTCTCCTTTTTTTTCTTCTATCTCTTTCGTCCAGTGAGGCCTGTAGACGGTGCTGCCCATCGCCATCTACAGACGTAGCTTTGACGTCTCAGTGAAGAATCCAGACGGCGCAACCCGTTGCCATCCGCAAGGGTCTTTCCCTGTTGCGCGTCTATAGTAGACGGCGATACCCTTCGCCGCCTGCTAGAGGCCTCGGCAACACCTATCGCCATCCGCGAAGCGTCCTTCGCGTATTCGGCGTTCATCACCGTCCTTCCTGCGTCCCACGCCTATTGTCGTGCGTCTCGTGAGGATTATCGTTGCGCGCTTCATCAGAGACTATCGCCGCCCGGGCAGGGGCGTGTTGTCTTCTTATGTTTCCAGCGGCGATACCTAGCGTCGTCTGTAGTTCATTTCTCACTCTCTAGCCATGAGCAATAGCGTCGAGCGCCACCCAAGGGCCACGACGCTACTACTCCACGATCATGAGTGGCGACACATAGCGCTGTCGAGACCTCATCTCTCTGCCGTCTCAAGTCTTCTTTTTACTCTCATTTCTCTTTTCACTTGACTGAAGGTAGACTTAGCCTTGCACCGCCATATCGATCTCGGTTTCGAGTAGTATTGCCGCCGTGCTGGTCTTGAGAACCATGCCCATCTTGCTACCACTCTGAGTCGATAACTTCCCGATTGTCTTGCTAATCACGCCTCTTCGTCAAGTTTTCATGTCTTTTCTATCTTTATTTAAACCTTACGCTTCATCACCCTCTCGCATGAACGTACGTTGCCCTAAGACATGGGTGGGTCTCTTTGACCCACTTGTCTTACAAATTAACCATAGAAGTGTTGCGCAGAAAACAAGATGATTGCAGGTCAAGGAAGGCGATTTTGAACCAGCTAAAGCAGCTGAGGAGCTTTCTTCGTGATCTAAGAGGGCGTCCATGCGAGCCAGTCGAGTAAGTCCCGAACCCACCTTCAATTCCTCTCTCATCGGTTGGTATACATGCCCTTGCTCTCGAGCAAAGTTCCGAGAGAGCGATCTCAAATCCCGGGTTTGTCAGAAACCCGAGATACGTGCCGCCTGATCATCTAGATCCGGAGGGCGAGATCGAGGCACCTAACCGCATATGTCATAGTATTTTACAAAGTATAAGATACTTCCATGTTAATTTCATACCCTGGCGTTTATACTATACCCTAGTGTTTGTAAAATGCTTTGTATAAACATTAGTCAAAGAGTTCAATGGCGCTACAATGTCATAGCGTTTGTAAAATGTCATAGCGTTTGTAAAATGCTTTGTATAAAACTTATATAATGGCGCTACAATTTTTACCTTAATAAGAGCTCAAAATTAGTCCCACAGCGTTATCATTGAAGCCTCATTGCAGCTATAAAACGTAGAGAGCCGATGATTACTGTCAGATGATGCCACGCGGGAAAGGCATGGAGTTGTGGATGTTACGTACGCGGCAAGACATGTGGAAGGTGGCTTCTTGTTGACATGTGACTACGTTTTAATGTTAAGGAAACCGTGATAACCAGTCGAAATGGTCACATCACTGTAGCATCACGGTGAGAACCGGTCGAAATGGTCGAGTTATTGTTACAAATCAGCGGTTCTCCTCTAGACACGCTTAATTTCCGGTACAAAACGAGAATCGGCACGGGATAACTGATTCCCGAGTCGAATCGACCGATTTCGTGCCGACTCGGCAATTTTTAAACCACTGGTTTTAGCAGAGATGTTCATCCAACTTTAAGAGCACATTTACTGACATTATTAACTTGGTTTTACACTGTGTTAATACTTCACACAAGCAAACAGAATAATCAGTAACCAAGACAATTAATGGCAATAAAATTTTCAAAGATAGTCATGTAAGGAATGACTCTTAATTACTGCGGATTATTTGCACATATCAGTTAAGCAAAAATAATATTGCACATTTCACTCCTGTAAGCTAATCAAACTCCTCTTTGTTTATAGTAAAGTTGGGCTCAAAGTCATCCATAGATGATCTTCACAGATAAATTGAATCACAAAGCAGTTTTCAGGTCATTCAGTTGCAATAGTTTCTTTTGTAATGTGAATTTCAGGTTCCTTTGGGCTACTTACACGAGTGAAATATATAGGAAAATAGCGACCCAATATATCAAAAGCATCTTTTGCCACACTGGGATCTGGAAATACTTGCACCAAAAGCTCAACAACATGAAACACAAGCATCAAGCACCGAGGATCCTTTTCTTCATCAATTGCAGCAAGAACTCCATATACCAACTCATCATCCTACAAATAAAAATAAAGACTTCCTTCTAAATTAGCAAGATATAATAAAACTAATAAATAATAAAGAAAAAAGAGTGCTTAAGAGTGCCAAATGCCTAGTCTTGAGAAAACACAGTGGATGCCCCAGCTAGGTATTGAATACGGTCCACAAGGTGTGGTAGGTATCTAAAACACAGGATCTGTATTGTATAATATTCACAGGATGTGTAAGGTGTGAATAAAACTACAGTACTTGATCTCCATTGTCTATCTTGAGAACGAATAGTTGATGCCCTGACTATTTATTGTATAGCATACACTAGATACGAGGTGTACTCTTCCCCCTAACACGTAATACGGGAAAAAAGAAAAAAGAAAAAAAAAGATACATAATGTTGATGATGTCCGATGGATTTACCAGCACAGAAATTACAGATGGAAACTGATCCAAAAGACATTCCAGAAGTTCAAGGCACAACTGCAAGAATATTTCAAATATGTGAGTAATACTGAACTCATGAACATCAGACAGATAAATTATTCTAAATATTGTCATAGGAGAAGAGTTTTCATGACAGGGATAACTTATATTCTAGAAAGGTCTTGGGATAAATGGCTCACAAGGCGATCATGCAGTGCTAAAGCCTGCACTTGTATATTCAACAAGAAAGACTTGGTAAGATTTATTAGATCGTTGTCTGAGATTGTGCCAGTATGACTCTTTCTTCTCAAAAGTGCCAAACAACCAATAAACGCTCCTCGTAAAGCTTGCCAATCTGCCTGATGGAAAGAATTGAAAATTATGATTCTTGAAGAGGCAAAGAGAAGTACAGCATTCGGCAAAAGCACTAAAAATAGATACATAAGCCAATATACAGGGTCCAAGTATCCAATGGACCCAAACAAAGTCATGCTTCCCACATAAGGACATAACTACAATCAAGCGGCATGGTTTCTTAATAAAATTGACAAAATCAGAATGGTACACCTGAAGCATGGTGGGCTCATACCCACAGGTCCAAGGATCAAAACCTGGAGTGTGGCCAAAAAAAAAAAATGTTTCTTTGAAATATTATCTATGTTTACAGCTACCTGTGGTCTTCCTGTCAGCACGGCAATTGCCTAATCATAAGAGGAGGAAGCCATAAAATTAACTCCAAAGTTACAAAACTTTTACGTACAGTTTACAGAAACATAACATACTACATCCTAAAATTTTTGGTGATGGTGAAAGTTCTTTCAATTCTGAAATGTCACTCTCTGCAATTCATAATATGCCTGCTATGCCCATTATTACCAGCATTCCATAAATCCACAATTTTTTTTTGCTCAGATTCCTTTTTTGTGCTCCTATTCAAATGGAACAAACCAACACATATGTACATGCACCGGATTTTTGAAGCACAAAAATATGAAATATGAAAGCTTATAATTATAATATACACATTGCAAAGTTCTAAATGAAGTCATAAGTGAATAGAAAACTTATAATTCTAATATTGACATAGTGAAGTTCTACATGAAGTCATAAGAGAACAGACCCAATAGATACCAACACCAACACAAGCATTCAATGAGCGAATACAAAGTACTATTTCAAACTCACCAGTCGAGATGTGAAGAATTCAGTCAAGCTATGGATTATAGCTCCATCTATCGGCTTTGAAGCAAGATAACTAAGAAGTTCGGCTACAAGAAGTATGCCTGTAGTGTAATTGTAAAGCTAATTGAATATATGATTAAAACAGAAACTGTGATTTTACAAACATATAGAGCACAAATGACAATATACACAGCCCAAAATAATATTGATAAGCTTTCAGAAAATAAAAACCATGGCGACTTAACTCGAATCCCAATATATTGATAAACTCATGGAAAGTAGAAACTGGCAAGTAAAACACAAAATAGGAATTTGAAATATTGTTATAATTAAGGAAACAGGATCGAAAAGGCATCTATTTGAGAACAAATCATGTTCTCCATTGTGCTCATAGGACATCACAGCATAACATAAACAATATAGGTGAAACCATTAAAACAGACGCATGGAAAGAAGAGAGTAACACCCATATGAAAATGAACTCTCCAGATGTTTGACACCTTATTTATTTTATCCTTTATTAATTAGAAAAAAAAAACCCTCAGATTCCAAGTCTCTTAAGCTGGATTTTAGGTTCACTCTAATATATTCAAAGAAAAGGTTCACTTGGATACAAGTTTCCCCCAACCACATCCACAAATAAGAACATGATCCTACTTTAAGCCTTTCAATGTTACAAGGCATTGAAAACATAAATAAGTAATAACTTATGTGTGCGTTTGTTTATGTATGAAATAGAAGAGCTTTAAATCACTTGATAAGAGGCTACAAAAATTACTGCTAACCTCGCCTGCATACAAGTTTCGCCCGCCAAGGTTAACCAAATTCACAATTAAGAATGTGACCCAATTAAGCCTTTCAATATTAAGAGGCACTGGAATCTAAATGAATGATATAGCATAAAAAAGCTCTAGGTCACTTAACAAAAAGATACCAAATATTAACAAACTATACAGATGTGTATACAATAGATAATGACCTTCTGAAAACAATTAAGTCCAAAGCACTGCTGCAAAAGATTCAGTGTATACTCAACCACGAGTCTAGAAGACAAGATGTCCACCCAAAAAAGGGGAAACCGAGAGTGAGAACCAAAAATTTAAAAAAGATGAAAGGTGAACGCCAACATATTACATAAGACAAATGAATAAATTTTACACACTAAAATTAATTGTGAAGATGGCACGACAATTTTAACAATCCAAACATAATAAAGCAAAATTTGGATAAAAAAACTAAAACCATTAGCAACATCAATAAGAATCTGAGAAACTGATCAATGTGGGAGTAGGGTTCCAATAATTCTCTAAAAGTAATCAAATACTAAATGTCAGAACTCCCACAACACACTTGATCTACATACACACACACAAACCAGGTTTTTTAATGTGTATTATGCATTCCTTTTTCTGTTTTCGTGGAAGTTGTGAAACGCAGAAGGAATAATAGAGATGTACATACCAACTATATAAAACTAAGGCCATTTAAAAAGTAAGGTAATTCCATAGAAAATTTTGAATTTTTTTTCTTTTTTACCTCTTGAACGAACTGAAGCATCTGTAGTGGTTAAATACACCTCCATCTCCTGAACCTGCATTTTGTTTTATCTCAGTCCCCTTATAAATGAAACTAGAAGTTCGGGACCGTCCTTGCCAAACATATAACAATGCCAATACTCACCAATGCTTCTAGCGTTAAGGTATCTTTCTTCATAAGTGTAGCAATTACATTAAGACTAGCATCCTACAAAAATCACAAACCAAATAATCTAATCGTAAGTATTAACGGAGTAAGAAGCTCTTCAAATACTAAAAGCTAAAAAAAGGCACAAGCCACAGGTAACTGAATGTCTATACACAATTATCCTCATATTTTATTCAATTTTTGTGCGGAAATTGAAAGTGATTATACAAAATTAAATGCAGAGCATGTGTTTTTGGTGCTGTTTTGACATTTTTGAAAAACAAAAGTCGTGGCAACAACAGTAAGGTGAAGCCAATGATAAAGATTAAAGTGTAATAGAGCGAGACAACACACTCCATGAAAACCTATAAGAGAGAGAAACCAAGGAAAATTCGTGAAAAATGAAACACCCCATGAACAACAAGACAGAGAAAACAATGACTGAAAAAACTCCCAAAGAGAGAGAGAAGACCAAGGAAATTTTTTAAGAGAGAGAGAGGGGGATCATTAACAATGAGAGAAAGAAACAGTACATGAAACAACTACAAGATACAGACAGGCCAAGGAACAATGCAATCGAGAAAAAACATATCAACAATAAAAAGTGCACGAACAACTATAAGTGAAAACGACTACGCATAATTCGCAAAAGAGAGAAATACTGCATGAACAAAGAGAGACAAAGACCAAGACAAATTGTAAGAGAGAGAAAACACCCCATTAACAACTGTTAGAGAGAGAAAATGCAGCAAATAAAGTAGGAGAGAGAAAAACCTTCACCTGTTGATCCTTAGAGCGCGAGGGGTCGACGAAGACTTCAACATGCGGAATCCAGGAGGCGGTTGACGCCATTTCTGAGCAGGTTTCGAGGGACACTATGCTTACTAGGGTTCTCGAGGTTTCAGGAACCAAAAATTTACAGAGATTCCCGCGAAACGCAGGTATGTTTAAAGGACGCGTTTTTTATGAATCCTAGGAGTTATCTGTAGATATGCATCCCATCCCCTCTTTATGATCTTTTTTAAACGAATTTTGCATTTAATTTTTTAAGCATATATAATCCAAAGATTATTAATATGTAAAAAATTAATTTTCAAAATTAAAAATAATAATTTTTAATGTTTGTTTTTTTATTGTTTTTAGATGCACCACTCAAAAGATGCAAATGTACACATTTATCCCGTTGACTCATAAAACAATTTTCTATTTTTCAAAAGTAATATTTCTTTTCTTTTCTTTTTTTGGGTTAGATATGGAGGGAATTTCAGGATTTTACATCGAATTTTATAGGGAAATTATCAGAAATATATCTTTATTTTCGCCTAATTGAAAATAAACCAAACGTTTATAAACCTCATCTACATCCTTTTTATGACATCTTTTTTAAAAGAATACCCTTCAAAGAAGTCGTATTATTGTGAAGCCCTAACATTATAGTACTTTAAGTACTATAATGACTACCCCATTTTATATGCCATTTTAAATGATGTGATAACTCAAAGTATTTTTGTTTACGATGAAAATCAGACAGATCTTCCGACGAAGATCTCACGGATTTTGACACCTTAAACTGATAAAAATAATGTGGTAGAAAAAGTGGGACAAATCGAATTCAAATCTAAGGCCAGATCTGCCCAGAAACGAGCAGATCCACTCTCAAATCTGTGGCAGAGCCAGCATGATCTAAAACATTAAAACACGAGTTCAAAGCAGCAAACTGAAAAAAATTAATCAAAATAAAATCAAAACAATAAAAAGAAGAAGACAGAAGGGATAACAGAACAATACTAAATCGGGCCGGATAGCCAGGGACTCTCGAGCCTTCAAGGGCTCACCCATATCAAAATCAACATCCTCTTTGCCTCTCTGATTCAGAAGTTGACTAGAAGATCTCTGATTTAAAATGGTTGTTGTGCCCTAGAGATGATTGAAGAACTAGGGTTCTTTAGGTCTAGGTTAAGGTTTCTCAAGCTTAAGGTTAGGGTTTTAAGATTAGGGTTTCATAAGCTCATGAAGTGAAGAGGTCCAGGGCCCAAGTTTCTTTGAGCAAAGGGGCTAGGGTTTCAATCTTCCTCTTCTCCTCCTAAATGGCCACAAAAATGAGGTTTTATAAATTGAGATTGTTTGGAGAAGGGAAACCTTCCATCACCAGCCAATCGCCAACCCTATGCCTTCTGGGGTCCCAGGTCTGGGTGATACTAGTAGTGTCGCCCAGCCAAAGTGAGGGAAAGTTGGCCCAAAATGGCAGGGGATCATTCTTATGCGAAGCAGTCTAGGCTGGGGCCAGGTCAGGACTGCCCAATATGGCAACTTTCTGCCCAGGACTGACCAGTAAGTTGTCCTGCCAAAAACGGAAGATTTCGGGTCAAACTGGGTTGGGCGACACAAAGTGTGTCGCTCAGGCGATACACGATGTGTCACCCAGTCTGGTGGAAGGCACAAAGCGTGTCGCCCAGTCTGAGTTGGGCCACACTAGTTGTGTTGCCGAAGCTAAAATTGACCGAAATTGAAAATTTTCAGCTCAAGTGTATAGTTCAGGCTGTTGTGAAGCTCCCAAAGAAAATTTGGGTCAAAAAGAGTTATTTTACATTTTTTTTTTTTTAAGTAAAATAGGATGTTTGCAGGATTTTGGGACAAAACAGGGTATCTGCATGGTTTTGGGTAGGCAGAATGGTTCTGGGTCACAGGGTAGGTTGTGTGGACTATAGATTTAGGTTTACTATGACAGTGTGGTCCAAAGGGTTTAGAAAACTACATAAGTTGCTAAATTTAAAATGGGGTGTCTACAGTTGCCCCTCTTTGGCACTCCTTATCCTTCGAGAGACAGGTGAGTGGCAAAGAAGTAGACACGCTTTGGCATTTCCTGTCCTTCGAGGGGTAAGTGAATGTCAAAGATAATACAGACATTTTAAATTTATTCCTGACGTTACGTGGTCAGAGGGCACAACAACTAATCCCTCTAAGTCATTGCGCTCACCGAGCTCACCCACCTAGGGCATTTTCCTCTTAGGGTTTTCGGCGTGAGATGTCAGAGTTACACAAGCTTGAAACTCAAGTTGGATTTTTTTGCCATGCCATTTAACTTCAGGGGTTTTCGCAATTTCAAATTCTTAAATATGGCATTTTCTTTGATTTCCTTAGGGTTTCCTAAGACTTTCTATAGGAAAGGCTTTTTATAGGAAGAAACTTGTCTAGCCGATTTCGAAGAGAGAGACGAGGCAGTAATGCAGTAATCGTGGGAACGCAGTAATCATCATATATGGGTGTCCAAGCTCCTTTGTTTTAAAAGACATTTTAAAATTTTTGAAGATAGAAGGATATTTGAAATAGAATCCGGAGCAAGGACAGGTTACGATTTTAACAAAGAAATTAAAGTTTTTTAAAACACAAGACAAATAGTGAATATTTTGAAAAGAGAAAGATATTTCGAAAAACAAGGTTGGTTAGCAGTTTTAACTCCTGCAACCATAGAGCCCTCTAAGCAGTTTTTATGCAACGATGGACGGTGTAGTCGGCAGTCATACTCATACGACCGTAGAGTTTTTATTATTTATTATTATTATTTTGTTGCCCCTGTTGGGGGGTGGTTTTCTTTTAATGTATATCTTACAGTTTAACCACTTGTGACCCCTTTGGTGGACCTTATGTGAGCGTATCGGGTCCTTACTTGAACCTTCGGGACGACATATCATCAAGTATTTCTCTATCTTCCAACCTCAGCTCTTGTACTGCAATTCAAGGAGAGTTCTCTGGAGTTTCGAGCGAAACATAATCTTGAAAATACAGGATATCGCCCCTGGGTGTTCAGAATCTCGTTGGATTTCCGATTTCGTTCCCCCACGATCACCTTTTGAAGTTTCAGACGATCTAAGTCCTTAACAATGTTCCGTTGGGCTAATGCTTATTGATTTTCTTTTAACACCACTTCGACTCAGGGGGAGGAAGAGAAGATGTTTAGAGAGAAAAGACTTTGGAGAGTAGAAGGAAGGAAATACTTCTTCTTTTTCGTTGCCCCGAGGTCCCTTTCGGGTATTCAGCCCAGTAACCCTTTTTCCAACGTTTGGGGTTCCTTTCGAATTTTCAGCCCAGTGGATTTTATTTTATTTTTTTATTGCTCCAGGGTCCCTCTAGGGTGTTCAGCCCTGTAGCTTTTTTTCCAACGCTTAGGCTTCTTTTTGGATTTTCAGCCCAATGGCTGTTTTTTTTTTTGAAGAAGAAAACATTGATAAAGGAAGAAGGGGAAGAGGAAGAGGAAGAGTCAAGGTGCCTTTTTTTTTTTTTTTTTTTCAGCAATTCACCTTAAGATCATGTAGGAATTCGATCATCTTTCTCTTTTCCAAGTGGCAGGGAGGTTCTAATATAGGTTGCCCTTTGATTTTCCTTGACCCAGGTTGGCATCCAAAATCTCTTTGACAATGGTTGCTGAATCCCTGTTGCACTTTTCCTTTAAACTGCTCCACTTGGACCTTGATTTTGGGACTAAAAATCACTCTTAATATCCTAATCCCTCAGTCTTCTATATGGACGGATAGGCTCTTCTGGGTTTTCCCATTAATGGAGTACTTGAAGTGTGAAGCATGAATGCCTCTTTTGGTTATTTGCAAAAGGACGAGTGATCACCCAACTCCTTTTCGATTATTTTTTCATTGCAAATTTTGTGTTGCTTTTCTGATGTTAACTCCATAGTAGGCTCCTTCTTCGTGCTCGAGCTAAGGTGAGACTCTCGCAAAAGAAGAGTAGTTAAATTGGTATTAGATGGCCTTACGGCATGTTAGAAGTCAACGAATAAGGGTTCAATCTCATTAGTTGCCCCTGTTGTATTAGACGGCCTTATGACATATTTGGAATCACAAACAAGGGTTCAATCTCATTAGTTGCCCCTATTATATCCTCTTCATGAGAGGATTTTGCTCATATTAAATATTTTGATGGGGTTGCCCCTGCAAGGCTTTTTGTTTCGTTGGGAACTTGTTCTTCACAGGATGAATTCTATTGATATGGTGGTGCTTTGGTTATCAGAGTTATGCTCATGTCATTAATGACTTTTAGAGAGCCTGCCTCTTGAGGAGGTAACATGGTCGGATTTTCAATATCCAATTCTTGATCCCAGATTGGTGGATCATTCAAGAAATCTTGTGAAAGTGGCCCACGTTGGCCCCATAGAATTTTCAAAGGTTCGAGCTCTGTCAACTTTAGTGAATATGCCAAATCTTTGGGAATAGTCAAATTTGGGTTCTTTGCTTCTCCATCATCTACAACTGGGTTCACCTCGAGAGGTGACTCGGTTAAATCTTCTAAGCATGATGCATCATCCCATATAAGTGGGTTGGCCAAGAAGTCTGGTGAATGTGGCCTAGGTGGCCCCCTTAGAATTTCCAAAGGTTCGACTTCTTTTGATATTTTGAGGTGTTGGCCCTTTGTTTGGAAGCGTAATGAGAGACTTTTGGGTGTTGACCCCTTGTTTGGAAGATGATCATTTCTCGTTGATCTGGGTCACATCAATTTCTAACATGTCGTCCTTATCATATTGATCCCACTTAGGTGGGTCGTCAAGGTTTTGAGGTGAGGGGCTTCCTTTTAACGCTTGCTCATTTGCCCCCTCACGAGTTATTGTCTCATAATTAAGGTTTTTCTTATCGTCATGGGCTTGGGAATCCACAGCTTCAAAACCTTGGTTGAGTTTATGCTTGAGTTCATATTACTCTTGTGAGTTTGATTCGTTGCCACACACGTATGAATCATTTATTGTATTAACTTGGAAGTACGGGTTGAAGGGTTCATATGCCCTAGTGTGACTCTTGATGATGGAGATTTCTTGTGCCACTTTTGGGAGTGTATCTTGGAGTAGAATTTCGCATGTGATGACCCTTTCTTTCACCGTTTCTTGGGTTATGGGCTTGGTGATAAGGTTATCCTCATTACTTTGATCATGAGTGTCCTTAGTCGTTAACTCCTGGATGA